CCTCCCCAGGAGGATACCGTGGTCAATGGTATCGAAGGCCGCTGAGATGTCGAAGAGGGCCAACAAAGAAATTTTGCCCCTGTCGGCCTCCCTCAACAAGTCATCATACAGGGCAACCAATGCCGTCTCTGTACCGTGGCATGGCCTGAAGCCCAACTGAAAAGGATCCAGGGCATCTGTTTCATCCAGATGTGCTTGAAGCTGGTCAGCCACCACCCTCTCGACTACTTTGCTCATGAAAGAAATATTGGCGACGGGCCTATAATTGCCAATTTCATCCGCCGCCAAATTAGGTTTCTTTCTTATGGGCCTAATGAGTGTCTCCTTGAAGGCAGAGGGAAACCTGCCCTCAAGGAAAGACCCATTTATTATTGCAGTGGCCCATTCTGTTGTTATCGGCCTGGCTGCTTTGATTAGCCAGGCCGGGCAAGGGTCCAAGGAGGAGGTGGTGGCTCGACAGCAGTCAAGTACTATGGCCACAGAATCAGGCGTGACAGGCTGAAAGGAGTCAAGGGTTACCAGGCAAGACGGAGCGCTGGACATCTCTGCTCGACTTACTGTGTTCAAAAAAGGAGAGAGGTCCCGTCGGATGGCCTCCACTTTAGATTTTAAAAAGGCTGAAACTGGTCAGGTGAAAATTATTAGGAATGGTCAAAGCTGAAGCAGCAGACTAACAAGCACCCATCCTCTGCAGGAATTGAGTTATGTCAGCACAAGGGAATGGGTAGTGTTGAGGGTGACAGAGGTGAAGAAATCTTAGGCTAACGTCCAGTAGGACTTGCCTTAACAACTCAAGTCCACCCCTCAGGTACACTCCTGGTTTCAGTCCTAAATCGGGATGCCCACTTCTTGGCTCTGGCCAGGATTGCTTTTGCATAATAAAAGCTGGTGTTCCTTCAGACGTCCAGTCTGGTGACACATGGAGACACAAGAGAGGGCCTTCTCTGTGGCTGCTCCCAGGAAGGGGAAAGACGTTGAGTTTGGTCCACCCCTCTCTCTCATCCTTTTGGCAGTCATGAAGGGGAAAGAGGTTGAGTTTGGTCCCCCCCCTCTCTCTCATCCTTTTGGCAGTCATGTCTGACTCTAGGGGGCGGTGCTCATCTTCGTTTCCAACCCATAAAGCTAGCGTTTTGTTCAAGGTCAATCTTCCGTGGTCACGTGGCCAGCGCGACTAGACACGGAACACTGTTACCTTCCCACCAAGGTAGTACCTATTTATCTACTCGCATTTTTACATCCTTTTGAACTGCTAGGTTGGCGGGAGCTGGGACTAACGATGGGAGCTCACTCCGTCGCGTGGATTCAATCTTACAACTCCAGGTCTTCTGACCCTGCAGCACAGAGGCTTCTGCGGTTTAACCTCTCTTTTTAGGCAGGCTTTCATAACAACCATCAAGTCTCTCAGTGCTCGGTTTGTCTACTGCCTGCGTCCTCACCAGATCATAGAGGTATGTGTAAATATACTGATCATTAAGGGGGAAGAGCATCTCTGTGACATGTCACACTTTCTCCGCAACCTATACTCGAACCCACAATGAGTAGTCTGGCCTTCTCTCACCAGGTTGCTCATAGACATGCCCCGAACCCCTTATAAGTTCAAACATAGGCTGCAGAAAAAAATATGGCATGTCATAGTAATCCTCCCTTGTGAGGAGCCTTGTGGCACAGTGTTTAAATTGCTGTACTGCAGCCAAAACTGTGCTCATGACCCGGGGTTCAATCCCAGGTAGCTGGCTCAAGGTTAACTCAGCCTTCCATCCTTCTGAGGTCGGTAAAATGACTACCCAGCTCCCTTTGGGGGGGTCAATGTGTAGCCTGCATAATTAACTTGTAAACCGCCCAAAAGCGCTATAGGGTGGTATATAAGCAGCATGCTTTGCTTTGCTTTTGCTCCCTCTACTGATCATGTATTTGCGCTCTTTAATCTGGAGATGTGGGTACTGGGAAGAAACAATCATGTAAGTAAAAGGGGGAAAAAGGACAAAGTGTCGGACCTTCTAAAAGGTTGTCGATCGATACGGTCCCAGTAAACCAGACGTGATCCGATGGCTGGGCAGAAATGTTGATCAAGCTAGTTTAGTAAATGAGAGAGAGAGAGAGAGAGAGAGATGCAGGGAAATCTCATCCACCAATATAGTTTGCTACTTTCTTGTTTCTTCAGTTCCCCCCTCCCTGCAGAGGCCCCAGCCCTTCCTCCTACCACCCCACTCCAGACTCACAAGTCATGCAGTTATGGGGCTGCAGCTCCCCTTCACTTCATCATCATTGGCCTCGTCTCCCCTCCCAGCTTGCTCTGTGGACCATCAGCCACACACACAAAGGAATAGGTGGAAGTGGGGGGGGACTCACCCGATTTCCTTGTGGTCTAGAGAGAGACAAGAGACCCCTCCCTCCCCACAGAGATGGGGCAGGGCAAAGCTGGGCCAGCTCCCTCTCCTGATTCAGGCTGCCCTGCACTGGTTAAGCCGGGAACTGGGTCTACTGGTTCTGCCACTCTTTGGCCCCTGCAGGCCTCCAAGCTTCGGCTCACCTGGGAGGAAAGAAATTCCCTCCCTAGACAGGAAGGGGAGGGGAATAAGCTTGTGGGAAGCACAAGCTTGGCCTTCCAACCTCCTTCCCAAACTTCCTGTCCCTCCAGGAAGCCAAACTCTTTGGATTTAACCCTTAGAAGGAGAGAGTTCTCCTCCTTCGGTCATCCAAGGCTGTCCGCAGTGGTTCTTTAGCCATGCATGGTTTCTTTGAATGGAGCTGCTAATGAGAGCAATGGAACTTAACTTCTGAGTAAGCCTTCCTAAGGACAACTCTGGCAGAGGAGGAGTCAAACGAATCATAGAACTGTATAGTTTTAGTTTTAATTTTATTTATTTATTTATTTATTTGATTTATTTATTTATTTATTTATTTATTTATTTGATTTATTTGATTTATACCCCGCCCATCTGATCTAAAAGACCACTCTTTGTTGTTGTTTAGTCATTTAGTTGTGTCCAACTCTTCGTGACCCCATGGACCAGAGCACGCCAGGCCCTCCTATCTTCCACTGCTTCCCGGAGTTGGGTCAAATTCCCAAGGTGGCTTACATCATTAAAACACAACATCAAAGCTAAAAACAATGAGTTATTCAAATAGTAAACAAATTTATATTATATTAAGGATGTTAGGTAAAGCAGTTATAACAGGGGGTTATGTGATGCCCGTAACTGGTTAACAATCTTGCTGCAGCTTTTTGGACCAGATGAAATTTCTGAGCAGGTTCCAAAGGTTCTCTTGCATAGCGCTTATTATTGTAATCTGGTCAGGATGCAGTTCCAGTGAATATTGTGTATTCCTCGCAGAATACAGAATATTAAATCAACACAAGACAATACAACATTAACAAACATTAAATTAAACTTCAAATCAAACTTAGCAGTTCTAAAATTTAAGGTACATGTACATATCCAAACATAAACATTAATCCAATTAGTAGACTTAGCTAGATTAGGCATCCTTCAGTCTTGAGAAACTATGGTAACGTGCTCTGAATAGAGGACTTGGAACAGCGTCTAGTGTGGCTGAGAAGGCCAATTTGAGAGTGACAATCCCTTCCACACTGAAGACAAATACAATCCGTCCCCTGTCCAGCTCCCTGATTTTGCTGCTTTCGTGACCGCCTCTTTGCCTCCGCCTGCCGGACAAGTAGACTTAGCTATAAAACAATTAATTATTAACAATAACAGAAATAGTAACAAAGGACCCTGAGTGGCAATAATCTGTCAGCTTGGTTAGTAGTTGAGGGTACAAACTTTGCTTTTATAAGAATGGAAATGAACCTTGCCATTCAAGATGTAATAAAGATATTGGTATCTGAGTGTAACATCGTAAGTTTGTCTTATCAGATCTTCTTGGGTATCGTTCTAAAATAGACCTCAAGAGTCTTGCACACTCTTGCTACAAATGGGACGGAAGTGCAACAGGTGCCAAATTCTCAGCTGACTTTTTGGCAACAGGAAGAAACTCTTTCATCATATGGAATTCCATATGGAATTCCTTTGTATTGGACTTCTAGGACAGCAGTGGCAGCATATCTACATGAGCCATAAGGAAGCCTTGTCTGTAATCAGTACAGGTACAATACTCATAAAATAGTCCTAGAATGATACAATACTCATAGAGTAGTCGTAGAACGAGCTGGAATTTTTAGCATGTATACATTACCGAAACAGCAAGGTCTATGTTGGCTTGGGCATGTCGTGAGAATGGCTGACGGTCGGATTCCAAAAGATCTCCTGTATGGAGAATTAGTGCAGGGAAATCGCCCCAGAGGGAGACCACAGCTGTGATACAAGGACATCTGCAAGCGGGATCTGAAGGCCTTAGAAATGGACCTCAATAGATGGGAAACCTTGACGTCTGAGCGTTCAGCCTGGAGGCAGGCATTGCATCACAGCCTCTCCCAATTTGAAGAGACCCTTGCCCAGCAGGCCGAGGCAAAGAGGCAGTCCCGAAACCAGCAAAACTAGGGAGCTGGACAGGGGACAAATTGTCTTCAGTGTGGAAGGCATTGTCACTCTCGAACTGGCCTTCTCAGCCACACTAGACACTGTTCCAAGACCTCTACTCAGATCACGTTACCCTAGTCTCTCGAGACAGAAGGATGCCTAATCTTGACTCATAAGATAGACAAAATAAAATGTAAGGATTGAAGGAGGAGACAACTTTACAGAGAGGTCCAATTTTTGAGGTGCCCAGTGAAGCTACATCGGCTTGGGCACAGAGGTCTAATATTCTCTGATTGATGATTTCGCTGTAGGGAGACTTGAGATGCCTCACTCTTCTGACAACCCCAGTCTGGCCATAAGGTTCAGTACAAAGGTTTTACAAGACCCAGATTTAATCTCCCCATATGGTAATGTTACAAAATCTGAATTTTCAGCTGATAATTAATGACTGTTTCCTAAGCTAAAGACATTACTGGTAATAAGTTTTTTGTCTGACGAGAGCTGTAGGGGTTGATGGAGGGGCTGCCACCAGTAGCCAGCACTAGACACTGTTCCAAGACCTCTACTCAGATCACGTTACCCTAGTCTCTCGAGACAGAAGGATGCCTAATCTTGACTCATAAGATAGACAAAATAAAATGTAAGGATTGAAGGAGGAGACAAATTTACAGAGAGGTCCAATTTTTGAGGTGCCCAGTGAAGCTACATCTGCTTGGGCACAGAGGTCTAATATTCTCTGATTGATGAGGATTTCGCTGTAGGGAGACTTGCAATGCCTCACTCTTCTGACAACCCCAGTCTGGCCATAAGGTTCACTACAAAGGTTTTACAAGACCTAGATTTAATCTCCCCATATGATAATGTTACAAAATTTGAATTTTCAGCTGATAATTAATGACTGTTTCCTAAGCTAAAGACATTATTGGTAATACGTTTTGAGTCTGATGAGAGCTGTAGGGGTTGATGGAGGGGCTGCCACCAGTAGCCAGTCAAACTTACTTTTTGTGACTTCTAATGGGTTTTGATTCCCTAGTCCCCAAATTTCAGCTCCACACAGTATCTGAGGTCGTAGTTTAGTTTTGTAATTTTCACCGAGAGGAGTCAAACATCTTCCCCTGGTTCTGTGGAATCTAAGTACAGTGGTGCCTCGCATTACGACGTTATTTCGTTCCAGCGAAATCGCTGTAGAATGAAAACGTCGTAATGCGAAATTAAAAAGCCCATAGAAACGCATCAAAACCCGATTAATGTGTTCCTATAGGTTTGAAACTCACAGTCCAGTGAAGATCCTCCATAGCGCAGCCATTTTTGCTGCCCGTGCAGCGAGGAATCCGTCCCAGAAAAGAGCGGGGAGCCATTTTTTTACCTGGTGGCCGTTTTTAAACCGCCAATCAGCTGCCCGAAAATCATCATTTTGCGAGAATCAGTTCCTGAAGCAGGGAGCCTATCATCGCACAGAGAAATTCCCCCATTGAAACATCGTAAAGCGATCGCTTTTGCGATCACAAAAAGTTCGTCGTAATGCGATTTCATCATTAAACGGGATGCTCGTCTTGCGAGGCACCACTGTATATCAAACACAGCCTTTTCAAATTTCCGCTAGGCAAATTAAATCTGAAATTATCAAGAGCCTGACTAGTGAAAAATCACTCCAAATAATTTGAAGCAAGATGGCTCTTCCAATATTCTCCCACCCAAAGTTTATTTATGGGGGTAGGATCTTCCATTAAAAACTGTAATTTTGGTTTTATGATAATTTACGCTAAGAAGATTCTTCTTGCAGTAACTGCTGAATGGTTTCAGCAATCTTCTAAAACCTATTTGGGTATGGGAGATTAGCAAAATATCATTTGTATAAAGTAATATTGAAGTGGCCTTTCTAATTACTCTTACTGGGAAGAACTGCAATCCTGTTAACTAGTCCACCATGTCATTTATACATAAACTGAAAAGCAATGTTATCCATTCTTCCAGTTTCTGGGGGAAGTACAGTGGTGCCTCGCAAGACAAATTTAATTCGTTCCACAGTTAATGTCATCTTGCGAAAAATTTGTCCCGCGAAACACATTTTCCCATAGGAATGCATTGAAATTTAATTAATGCATTCATATGGGCAAAAAAATCAGAACAAAGTCATATTTGGTTTACAAAGGGTTCATTAAGTGCTCTTTAAAGCCATACATATTGTGCAGATGATTTCAAAAATTTCAATCAAAAAACTTTTAACTTTTTAAACATCATAGAAAAACATTTAAAAATCAGCAAACAGGAACAAAAAACAGAAAACATTATTCTTGTCTTGTGAGTCATCAACACACACACACACCCAATTGCCAAAACCATTTGTCTTGCGAGGCACCACTGTAACTTGCATAGAGTTTGCCTAGAACATCAAGCAAACTTATAGTCTTATAGGCATCCTTCAGTCAATTTGAAGAGACACTTGGAGCTGGACGGGACAGATTGCATTTGTGTTTTGCGAGGCATTTGCCTTGCTAGGCACCACTGTAACTTGCATAGAGCTTGCCTAGAACATCAAGCAAACTTACAGTCTTGCAGGCATCCTTCAGTCAATTTGAAGAGACACTTGGAGCTGGACGGGACAGATTGCATTTGTCTTCAGCGTGGAAGGGATTGTCACTCTTCCATTGGCCTTCTCAACCACACTAGACGCTGTTCCAAGTCCTCTATTCAGAGCACGTTACCCTAGTCTCTCGAGACTGAAGGATGCCTACACAACCAGTGGCCAATTTGAAAAAGAATTAGAGGGTAAATCATCTAATTCATATGGGCTGTATCATTAAATAGTTTGAAATAATGTTCTTCTCAGTGTCTGGCAGATATGTAGGAATTGAGCTTCTAGCAAAACTTTCCTTCAGCTTTTGCCAGAAGCTCACTGTATGCCAGAGCGATTTCCTGATATGCTTCTTTTATTGAAGCTATTTCTTTTTTGAGAAGCTACTTGTAATTATTACAAAGATCAAAGGCTTTTAGACTGGTTTTGCTTATGCAGCCTGAGAGCTCCTCTTAAGCGTTGTTTCATAATTTCACATTATTTATCAAACCAGCTGTTATTAG